CACAGTTTTTGTACAGCAGGGACCAAAACTGAACACACTTTTCCAGGTGTGGCCTGTCAAGCGCCGAGTGCAGTGGGATAATGACTCTTTACCTCTGCTGGGGATGCCCTTGGTGATGCAGCCCAGCACCCCGCTGGCTTTCCTTGCTGCTGCAGCTCACTGCTCGCTCATCTTGAGCTTGTTGTCCACGAGGACCCCCAGGTCCCTTTCCACAGCTTCTCCCCAGCCAGGTGGATGCCAGCCTCTGCTGCACTCCTGGATTAAGTTTTCCCAGGGGCAAGACCTTACACTTGGCTTTGCTGAGCTTCACAAAGTTCTTGTTAGCCCCCTCTTCCAGCCTATCCAGCTCTTCCTGCAGGGTGGCTCTCCCCTCCACAGCGTCCCCTTCCCCACTCAGCTTGGCATCGTCAGCAAACGCCATCAGGGCACACTCGATCCATCACCCAGATCGCTTATGAAGATACTGAACAGCGCTGGGCCCGATATCGATCCCTGGGGGACCCCACTTGTGACAGGTTGCCTGTTTGACAAGGAGCCATTTCCAGCACCCTCTGGGTGGGGCCTGTCAGCCAGTTCCCCACCCACCCACAGACCCCTTGTCTGGGCTGTAACACATCCGACTCTCCAGGAGGAGGCTGTGGGGAACCGTATCGAAAGCCTTGGAGAAATCCAGGCAGACGGCGCCCACTGCTCGCCCCAACATCTGCTTTGTTGTAGAAGGTGACCACGTTTGTCAAGTACAATTTGCCCTTGGTAAATCCCTGCTGGCTTTTCCCAGTCACGTCCTTCATTTGACTTGTGATCTTGTAATGACTTAATTCACCTATGTTGGTTTTCTTGCATGCCCATGAGCTTGGAGCTACCAAGACTCTCTTTAAATCAGGTTTGTTTTCACAGCGTGCCTCGGGAGGGGGATGCTCTGCCGGGGCACAGCAGCCAGCTGAGAAGGGAGAAGGCGTCCCCTCAGCACGGCCGGCTCACCACCCACCAGGTGAACCCAACCAAACCCGCCCTTGTTAAACCAACCCTGCAACAGCATCACACAAGGCTTTTCCCACCAAATCCCCCACAAAACCACCCCATGAGGCTTTTATGTGCTGCTAACCATCGCCCATGAGTGCTAAATCTGGCTTGTTGCTGACCCCTTAAATTCAGGGTTGTCTCCATTCATCTTAAAGGCTGGGCACCACTCCACACAAAAGGGCCCCTTCTGATATTAGCATTTTTATTTCTTTATTATTAACATGCTGAACAGCATCTCCACCTCCACGCTGGATGGGTCCATCTCTTGGACTTTGCCTCTCAAGGACCCCCTGTTTTTCTTCCCTGTGAAAGAGCATCTCTGCTGCCATCATCTCTGCCACCACCTCTCTGGAATTCCCTCATCCTCTTCTAAATGGGTGCACCTGATGCCTCAGGGCTGTTAATGAACCGATCAACAGGACTATAAATTTATAGAGCTGTTTACCAAGTCAGATGTGTCCTGCCAGTCCCCTACCCAAGAGGTATAACAGGTAAATAAGCCAGGACAGACAGCTTGGACACCAGTTAATAATTCAGTTGGTTCTAACAATGCAGAATCATTGCAGGGGGATGCACCCATCAATTATAACAATATTAAACAACAACGAATTTTAAAAAAAAATAATCTTTAAAGCAACCTGGTCAATAAAGAGGTGAAATCACCCATGAGAGATATCACTGTGGATTTGAGCATGTACACCAGCCACAAGCAGAAGACTTTGCCTGAATCCTCCAAAGATTATGCCTGGTCTGGAGCTCAATTTATTAATGATGGGGCACAGCAGGGAGGAAACACCTGGAAAAATCTATTTTGAAGGACAAAAGCCTGCCCCAGGTAAAGGCAGACATAAGGAGAGAACAGCAGCTCTGGACCAGCTACCAGAGGAGAAGCCAAAGCCTGTCAGGCTCCAGGTCGCACCTCCCGGACGGTTCCCAGGTGCTCGGGAAGGACCTTGCAGCTCCTCGCCTGCCATCAGAAGGGCCATCTGTCACAGCCTCATGCGCCCAGAGGAGCGGCTGAGGCTTGCTGAGCTCAGCTTCCAGCTCCTGCTTTCCCTTATGAGGCTGGGGGTGAAAAAAAATAGGAAAAAAGATTTAAAAAAATAGGAAAGCAACTGCCCTCCAGCAGCTTTTGGGGCTGCTATAGGATTTGTCCTGGAGCTCCCTTCCCTTGCCAGCGACAGGATTTCCCGTGATTTTTTTTGTACCCCTGATATACTCCCCATCATCTCTACTTCCCAACAGATTTCCCATCATCTCTCTGCCTGTGCTTTCCAAGCCAGAGCTTCTCACCACAGCCCTGCCTTCCTTTCTCCATCCGTGGCACGTAAACCAGAGCAGCGCCTGAACATCCCCACCAGCCATCTTAGGTTATTATTGCCTCTAAGCCCCTACTCTAAGGAGGCTCCAGATGTTTGCCAAAGTCCAGCCTGAAAGAGCACAGACACCTCATCCTTCGGAGAAGAGGCCATATCCAGCACCTCCAGAAATAGCCAGGAGCCACCCAGCCCCATGCAGAGACACCCCATTGTTATTCAGCCAAATGTGAGGGACAGAAGTCAGGGCTGATTTTTCGATTTAGTCAACCATAAAAAAAGAGACCTGCAAATCTTCAGGCTGCTCTCATGCCCTGGGAAGTGGCAGGGACAGGGATAAAGGTTTTCCCCTCCCTGCAGCCACCTCTCGAGTTTGCTGCTCCTGTCACACTGAGCACACAGCTGGTCTCCTCCCCCACAGCTCCGAGGCAGCCCCCAGAGCTGCTGCCCTTCACCCCAGCCTGCAGCCTTGGGGTGCCCCTCTCGCCCAGAGGGCTTTCCAAGAGCCGGGTCACCCCGAGAGCATGGTCACAGCTTTGCTCTGGCAATTCCTGGTGCCATGCTCTCCCCAAAAGCACAGGCACCACCGTGATTCAGTGAACACCAGCACCTCTCCCCAAAACCATGCCCACAACCTTGCTTTAGCAACACCCAGCACCATGTTCCCCCCAGAAGCACATCCACAGCTTTGCTTAAGCAATTCCTGGTGCTATGCTGTCCCCAAAGGCATGCCTATAACCTTGCTTTGGCCATTTCTGGTGCTGTGCTTTCCCAAAAGCACAGGCATGACCTTCCTTTCATGAGTATCCACACTGTGGTCTCCCCAAAATCATGCCCACAACTTTCCTTCATCATAGAATAATTTCGCTTGGAAAAGACCTTTAAGATCATTGAGTCCGACCACAAAAGCAGTTGTGATATGGGAGGGAACAGTGGCAAAGAGGAGGCTCCTGTGTCAGCGCTTGTTTTGCCAATTATCAGGCCTAGCATAAAAGACACAGCCAGCATAAAGATGAACCAATAACCAACATGTATTTGATACAAAAGGGTCAGTACATGGGTGAGTGCTGGGGGTACAAACAAGTCAGTCAGATTATACATAATCAACATCAATCCCACTGACCCCAACACCAACACGGCACAACCAACAATGGGTGGAATAAACGGTGAAGTGCAGTCTCCCATAGAAGGGACGGGAGACAACCCAGTCAAGCCAAACACATAAGACCAAGGAAGCCACAGACTGAATCTCTACACAGCCTGCATTTACAAAGGCCAGACCCGACTGGAGCCCAGTCCCAGGGAGGCGGGAGGTCCTTCCCCAACAGGGAACTCTGCACAGGGCATCCACCTCACAGACAGACACTGCCCCTCCTGCAAGTGGTCCCAGCTGTTATCCCCAAGTGGGACACCTGCTGCAGGACAGCTGGGGCTCATTTACCCAATGGCTCTGTCTGCAAGGCCGCCGCACCCTGGAGGGAAGCCTAAAGGCAAACTCACCCCCCCTTTGGGAAGGGCTGTGGGAATCACCCATATGTCAACCTTAATTTGGGGCTTGGGGCTGAAACCCCAGCATTTCAGCACTGCAAGCAGAAAAGCAAGTAGGTTGACAGAGGTCTTGATTTGGGCAATTCCAGTGATATACAATGTAGGAACGATGAGGCTGGGTCTAACCTCCACATGCAGGGAAGCACTAGGTTTATTCAGACCAACTTTGCTGAGTGTCCCTGGGTAGCTGAGCCTGGAGGTGCATTCCCATGCTTTTAGGAGGACTCCCTCTGCAGAAAAAGGCACTGCCACTTTGCTTTGGTTGATGGGCATAATTTACATGCCTCCTCTTCCCTCTGACCCACCCAACCCAGGCTGCAAACCTTGCGGACAATCCTTGGCGACACTGACAAATGGAGTTGCCTGTCCCTTTTGCTGCTCCAGAGTCAGCTCAGGAGCCCTGTGACTGCCACAGTGCTCAGCTGGCTTGTGATCCAGCCCACCAGCAGCACAGATGAGGCCTCTCACAAGATCAGCACATCTCAGGGCATCACCCCTCGTCAGACACCGGTCCAAAGCAAGACAACTGCAGGGAATAATTCCTGGCCTTTGCTGCCTGCTGAGCTGTGCTCAGGAAGATCAGTGCTGGTTGGTCTGGTCTGCGCTGAGGGATTTGGTGGAGCTGAGAACAGTCAGTGTGAGGTTAATGGTTGGAATGCAGGATCTTCAAGGTCTTTACCAACCCAGATGATTCTGTGAAAACCAGACCAAGGTCCCTCCGCTTGCAGTGCCATGCTCTCCCCCAGAGCCCAGGCACCACCTTGATCTGCAGAGTGCCAGCACCGGGCCCTCCCCAGGAACATGCCGACAACTTTACTTCTGCCATCCCTGGTACTGTGCTCCCCCCAAAAGCACAGACACAGCCTTGCTTTGGCACTCCCTCTAACCCATGCCCAGCACCCTGCTTCAGTCACTCAGAATCACAGAATCATTCAGGTTGGAAAAGCCCCTCGGGATCATCGTGTCCAACCCTCAGCCCAACTCTACAAAGTTCTCCCCTACCCCACATCCCCCCTCAGCTCATCCAAACGGCCCTTAAACACACACCCAGGGATGGGGACTCCCCCCTCCCTGGGCAGCCTGTTCCACTCTCTGACCACTCTTTCTCTGAAACATTTTTTCCTCACGTCCAGTCTGACGCCCCCCGTTGCAGTTTAAAGCCGTTCCCTCTTGTTCTGTCCCTGATCCCCTGGGAGCAGAGCCCAGCCCCAGCCTCTCTGCAATGTCCTGTCAGGAGCTGCAGAGAGTGATGAGGTCTCCCCTCAGCCTCCTCCTCCTCACACTGAACACTCCCAGCTCCTTCCATGGCTCCTCACAGGATTTACTCTCCAGCCCTTCCCCAGCCTCGTTGCCCTCCCCTGCACTCTCTCCAGCCCCTCGAGATCTCTCTCGTACTGCGGTGCCCAAACCTGGACACAACCCTCCAGGTGTGGCCTCCCCAGTGCAGAGCACAGGGGGACTGTCACCTCCCTGCTCCTGCTGGTCACACTAGTGCTGACACGAGCCAGGATGCGCTCCCCGCGCTCCCCCTGTC